GATGCTGCTTGGCCTGCTGTGTTCATCCAGCCCTGCACCTTGTTGTCTCGGATTCTCCAGCATCTGCAGTTCCTACTATCTCAGATACACAGGAAGACCACTTCCTCCAAATTCCTCTCTAAGCCACATACCATTACGATTTGGAACTATATCATTGTTACTTCACTGTCATTAGATCAAATTCAGAATCACAAAAGTGTCTTAAGTTCAGGAGATCATTCTGCTCGGCTCACCAGCACCTTCTCAAGGGCTAATAGAGATGGGCAATAAGTGCTGGCTTCATCAGCAATACTATGAAAGAATAAAAAATAATTATCAATTCTCTGTTCAGGGTTCTTATTCAATATGCTACACCACCTTTTAAGACAGTGCTTTCCGGATTACAACTACTCGCTATATTTTTCTTCATGTGGTCTCTAATCTTTAGCCAATCATTTATGTGCTGTATCAAAATCCTGCAAGATTTTGAATACCTCAATCTAATCACTGCTGAACATTATTTACTTTGAGAACAAACTCAGCTTCTCAAGTCTTTCCAGCAACTAAACTCCCTCATCCCTAGTCCCATTCTCCTAAATCTCCTCCCCACACTCTCTAAGGTCATGTCATCCTTCTTAAAACATGGTATCCAGAACCACATTTAATCATCTTGGATTGAGCACTAGAAACTAGAGAATCAGGGAATGTTTCCACTGAAGAAAATACAACTTGGAGGTTTGAGGCGTTCTGCTGTTAAGTATAGATAAATAGAAACCTATGGACATATTTTTTATGAGCTCTATAATAAGAGGTCAAAATACACGATCAGCAGATGATAGGTAAGTATTTCATACAAACCTTGTAATGTGGGGCATAATGCCCAGGAATTGTGTTTCATCAAATATCGCGTCAAATTTAAATTTTTACAAAGGGACATAAGAGCGTTCAATCAATACAAATTTTAATGTCACTTCTACTGTTAACCTAACCACAAGTGTTACTGTACCTGTGTAGAAACAGCACATGTCCAGTACACTGTTCTGCATTAGTTCACTGCAATCAGATGTTTTATACTTACCCTTGTTTGTGTTTCCCAAGTGAAAGTTTGTTGTGGATTCCCTTCTCCAAATGAAGATCCAGATGTTTCTGGAGGTTGTTCTGTGGTAAGCAAGTCATTCTGCGGTAAGCAAGTCATTCTGCAGCACAGACCAAATTCAAATAATGGTTCAGTGTCAGATTAATTTATAATCCTTCTTTTAAAAAAAAAAAAACGGTATTTTACTTTTTCTTTGCACACCATCCCTCCCTGGTCAGTTGCACTCCATCCCAAATTTCTGTTAGTTCTGCAATACAGCAGACCACATACGGGATGATCCAAAACAACTTCCAATCTGCTTTGAACAAAAAAAAACCCAAAGAACTCCAGGTGCTGGAAATCAGAAACAAAATCAGAGATTTCTGGAAAAACTTAGCAGGTCACACAACAACTGTGGAGAGAAAGCAGAGATAATGGTTCAAGTCCATTGACACTTCTTCAGAACCCGATTCAGAAACATTAAGTCTGCTTTCCCTCCACAGATGCTTTCTGACCTGCTGAGATTTTTCAACAATTTCACAGAGCCTTATAAAATTCTAACAGGACTAGACAGGGTAGATGCATGGAGGATGTTTCTGACTGTGGGTGTGTCCTGAACCAAGAGTCACAGTCTGAGGATTTGAGGTAGACCATTCAGGACGGAGATGAGGAGGCATTTCTTCACCCAAAGAGTGATAAGTCTGTGGAATTCATTACCACAGGAAGTAGTTGATGCTGAAACATTGAATGTATTTGAGAGGCAGCTAGATATAGCACTTGGGGCGAATGGGATCAAAGGTTATGGGGAGAAAGCAGGATTAGGCTTGAGTTGGACGATCAGCCATGATGAATGGCAGAGCAGCCTCAAAGGGCCAAATGGCCTCCTCCTGCTCCTTTCATCTATGTTTTTATGTAAGTCATATTTCCTCAGTTTCGTTCACACCAAGTCTGAAGGTTGTGGATTCAAGTCCAACTCCAGAAACTTGACACTCCCAGGTGCAGTATTGAGGAAGTGCTGTACAGTCAGAAGTCCCACCTTTCAAATGTGAGGTCAAACATATGCACCATCAGCCTTCCCAGGTGAACACAAAAATCCTTTAGTGTTAATCGAAGGGCACAGGGCCATGCCAATATACTGGCCATTATTTACCCCTCAACTAAAATAATTCAAATAATCTGATATTTATTACATTGCTATTTGTCAGATCTCACTGAGCACATATAGCTGCTGCATTTGTTACAATGACTACACTTTAAAGGCATTTCACTGGCGGTAAAGGTGTAGGACATTCCGAGGTCATGACATTTATAGCTGCTAATTGATCCTGTGCCTCCTGCCAGAAACAGGTGTTTATAAAAATGAAATTTACCCTCAATTTCGCTTTAGACCTCTGCAATCACTGGGCTCTCTCTTCATTTACTGTTGCATTGGAAAAGGGTCATTAAACTAAAAAGTGACTCTTCAACTCGACTCGAAACATTGACTCCGCTTTCGCCCCACAAACCTGCTGAGTTTGTTTTTCTTTCTGGGATCTCATATCGTCTCATTAAGAGGTTTGAAATCACTGAACTGGTTGAGGACCCTTAAGGGGATTGAAACCGGTCAGTGAAGGCTCTTTAACTATTGCACAGTGGTCTCGGCTGTTTTAAAGGGGACCGCTAACATCGCAAGCTTGTGGCAGCCCCCAGTAAAGGGCACTGTCATCATTGCAAACTGTATTGGTTACAGGGCGGCCACCCTCACACAGGACCAGGGCCCGAACCATCATCGGGCGCTCTCCCTTTCCCCAGGCGCCTTCCCCCACCCCCTCCCTATCGGGGCACCGTCCCTGTCCTCACCCCTCACCGGGCTCTCTCCCCTCGGCCGCTCTGTCCCGGATTGAAATCCCGCGCAAACCCGGCGGCAGGCATCTCCCGGAAGTGGCTCGTAGGTCAAGGATCCACTTCCGCCGCCGGTTTCTATGGTAACGGCTTGAAGCTTCTCCCCATGAGGAAAGGTGTGAAAATCCCTGTCCACCTCAGAGCAGGCCCCGACCCCCTCTGGAAGGTTCGTGAATGATGACCCAGACATTTCCACAGCCCACAGAATGTTATAATGTCCCATCCTCCCCATATCAAAGCTTCACTGGGCAAAATAAACTGATGGTTATAGTTATGATCTTTATGAGCCGGGCACATTGTCCGCATGATCGACAGGAGACTCCCCAAGCAGGTGCTCTACTCCCAGCTCCGATACGGCAGGTGAGCCCCAGGTGGACAGAGGAAGTGTTTCAGTGACACCCTCAAGGCCTCACTGGCAAAGTGCAGCATTCCCACAGACACCTGGGGAATCACTGGCCCAAGACTGTCCAAAGTGGAGGAGAAGCATCCGGAAGACGTCAAGCACTTTGAGACTTAACGTCAGGGAATAAAATGGACAAAAACAGCAAAAGGAGCGTGCTGCCACACCAACTCCCAAACCACCCCTTCCCATGCCGACTGTGGCAGAGCCTGCAGAAGCCACAGTGGTCTATACAGCCACCTCCAGACTCGCCCTGAGAATAGGAGAGTGTCATCCTCGTCTGCAAGGGATCACTGATATGATGATTATTTAATTACGGCAAGAACATTTCATGGTAATTAGAAACTTTCAGGTTCAACAGGAAATGTGAGTATAGAGAAAGTTAGATATGAAATTAATTAGAAAAGAGGAGACTTGCATTTCTGCAGTGCTTTTTACAGGATGCCACAGTAATGGGACCTCCAGTAGCAACATTGCGGAATGGCATTTGGAACAGTCAAATGGAATTGCTGGATAAAAAGATGTCATTGGGAGGGGAGCTGATCACAGAATACCTACAGTTTGGAAGCAGGACATTCAGCTCATCGAGTCCACACCAACTCTCCAAACAGCATCCCACCCAGGCCCCCCTCCCCCAACACCCTGACTGAGCAATACGCTGCATGCAACCCATTATAGTCATAGAGATGCACAGCATGGAAACAGACCCTTTGGTCCAACTCGTCCATGCCAACCAGATATCCTACATTAATCTAGTCCCATTTGCCAGCATTTAGCCCACATCCCTCTAAACCCTTCCTATTCATATACCCATCCAGATGCCTTTTAAATGATGTGATTGTACCAGCCTCCTCCATTTCCTCTGGCAGTTTATTCCATACACGCATCACCCTCTCCGTGAAAAAGTTGCCACTTAGGTCCCTTTTTAAATCTTTCCCCTCTAATCTTAAACCTATGCCCTCTAGTTTTTGACTCCCCTACCCTCAGGAAAAGACCCTGACTATTCACCGTATCCATGCCCCTCATGATTGGAAAAATGTGTACATTCTCTAACACTGACATTGAAACAGAAACATAAAATGAGAAAATAGTCATGTGCCGATGATTTTAGGTTTATCACAAATGTCAATATGTACCTTATGCATGAAAAATACAACTGAATGCTTGATGGCAAAAGGATAGAAACTTTATTTCAGTTGCGAAAAGGTTAACAGACAACTAAATAAAAATGATATGCAAGAACAGAAATTATGTTCCATACCGTTCTTGTGCAAATACTTAACATATTAATTGAAATTCAGCTTGTGCGAAGAGCGTACTGAAAGGAGTTTAATCACTGAGTGGGGTTAGAAATCTAGAATTCTTTCATCCAAAAAGCTGGTGAGACTGGAGGTCAACTGAAAATTTCAAAACTAAGTTTGATGGACTTTTGTTAGGTATGCTAAGTAAAATAAAGTTAAAATATTGATCGGTCATGATTGAATTGAATAATAGGTCAGGTTTGAGACTGAATGGCCTCTGCTTTTTTCGTATGATCCCAAATATTTGTGAGAAAGCACCACTGGCTTTAAGTTTCAAGCCTACAGTTATTCAACTAATGTCACTAACATAACCAACATTTATCAGATGTAAAAGCATCCAGTCTCCATCAAAGAGTGAAATTAATTTTGGTTTCAAGTGCAGCAGGTGTAAGCCTGCCAGCCTCACTTACATTGCAACACAAAGCAAGAATCTTCTCAAAGTGATTTTTCACCATTTAGAATAAAAATCATTCATGGCAGGCGAGTAGCCCTAGCTAATCCAGCACTTATTGATGATCCCTAATTGCCTGGGAGAAGCTGATGGTGAACTGCCTTCTTGAACTGTTACAGTCCTTGGGGCATAGGCACATCCACAGTGCTTTAGCCAGGGAGATCCAGCCACAGTGAAGGAACGGTTGAAAGTTCTAAATCAGGATGATGAATGGCTTGGAGGGTAATTTTCAGGTTTTGATGTTCACATGTATCTGCTACCCTTGTTCTCAATGGTGGAGCTTACAGGTTTGGAAAAGTGCTGTCAAAGAAAATTGTTGGCGAACAACCACAGCACATCTTGTACACACTGCTGTCACTGTGCGTCAGTGGTGGAGGGATTGAATGTGGAAAGTGATTAATGTGGTGCCAACCAAGGGGTCATCTTTGTTCTGGATACTGCCAAGCTTCTTGAGTGTTGTCACAGCAGTGCCCATTTGAGAGTATTCAATGACATTCCTGACCTGTACCTTCTAGACGAACGAGGGCTGGGGGAGTCAAAGTGAGCAACGTGACACAGAATTCCTTGTCTCTCACCAGTTGTTGTAGCCTTTGTATTTTATGGCTGGTCCAGTACAATTATTAGCAACCTCTATGAAGTTGATAGTGGTGGATTCAAAGATCAAACTGCCATTAAACATCAGGGGGTGATGGTTCCATTCTCAATTGTTGGAGAGAGTCATTGCCTGTTTTGGGTAATGTTATTTGCTATTTATCAGCCCAAGCTAGATGTTGTGCAAGTCTTGCTGTATATGAACACAAGCTGCTTCAGTGTCCAAGTGATACTGAACATTGTGCTATCATCTATAACTATTCCTAACTTTTGACTTAATGACAGACTGAAAGTTGTTGATGAATCAGCTGAAGATGGTTGGACCTCAAACAATTCTGAGGAATTCCTGCAGTGATGTCCTTTAATTGAGATGTTTAACCTTCAACAAACTCAACTATCTTCCTTTCTGCTAGGTGCAACTCCAACCAATGGAGAGATTTTTTTCCCCCTGGAATCTCATTGACTTGAGTTTTATTAGAGTTCCTTGATGCCACACTCAGGTAGATGTTGCTTTAATGTCAGGAGCAGTTACTGTCACCTGTCCCGAAGAAGAGTTCCAACCCGAAACATTGACTTTGCTGTTCCTCGGATGCTGTCTGACCTGCTGTACTTTTCCAGCTCCACATTTTTTGACTCTAGCTTCCAACATCTGCAGTCCTTTCTGTCTCCACTCTCACCTCACCTTTGGAGTTCAGCCCTTTTGGACGTGTTTGTAACAAAGCCATAGTGATCTTGGTAGAACTAGAACTGGGTGTCTGCATGCAAGTTATCGCTGAACAAATTCCACTTGATAGCACCATCAACAGCCCCTTTCATCACTTTGCTCTTGATTGAGAGTAGACTCAAGAGTGGTAAAGTGGCTGGATTAGATCTGTCCTGCTTTTTGTGTACAGGACATATGCATTCCACGTTGCCAGGTAAATGCCTGAGCTGTGGCTGTACTGGATCAGCGTGGGAATGTGTGAGGTCATGCACTTTAGTCGAAAGAATAAATATTAAAATTTTTCAGAATGGGGAGAAAATTCAGAAATCTGAAGTACAAAGGGACTTGGGAGTCCTACTCCAGGATTCCCTTGAAGTAAACTTGCAGGTTGAGTCAGTAGTTAGAAAGGCAAATACAATGTTGCAATTATTTTGAGTGGACTAGAATATAAAAGCAGGGTTGTACCTCTGAGGCTTTATAAGGCTCTGGTCAGACCACATTTAGAGTATTGTGAGCAATTGTGGGCCTCATACTTTAGGAAGGATGTACTGGCCCTGTAGGAGGTCCAGAGGACGTTCACAAGAATGATCCCAGGCATGAAAGACTTAACACATGAGGAACGTTTGAGGACTCTGGGCCTATATTCGATGGAATTTAGAAGGATGAAGGGGATCTAATTGAAACTTACAGAATACTGAATGGCCTGGACAGAGTGGGCGATGGGAAGATGTTTCCATTAGCAGGAGAATCTAGAACCCAAGGGCACAGCTTTAGAGTAAAGGGAAGACCCCTTAAAATAGGGACAAGGAGAAACTTCTTCAGCCAGAGAATGGTGAATCTATGGAATTCATTGATAGAATAGAATAGAATGTCCTTTATTGTCACATGTACTCCAGTGAAAAGTTTTTACAATGGCTGGCTTTAATGGCACCAATTTAGGTACAGGTACCTAGGTACAAATCTTAGAGTAAAACAAAAGTGTTGTTACAGTATAAAAAGGAATATAGATTAGCATGAAACAGTGAAAAAGTCCAGAACGATGATGTGAGGCTGTGGAGGCCAGGTCATTGAGTATATTTAAGACAGAGATCGATAGGTTCTTGATTGTCAAGTGGATCAAAGGTTACAGGGAGAAGATGGGAGAATGGTGTTGAGAAACTTCTCAGCCATGGCTGAATGGCCTAATTTCTGCTCCTACATCTTATGGTTGGGGCATGGCTAGATCTGTAGTACAAGTCTTTAGTCTTATTACTGTACTGTTGTGCCAGCTCATAGGGTTTGCAATATTCTGTGCCTTCAGCTGTTTCTTAATATCACATGGAGTGAAATGCATTGCTTGAGGAGTATACAATTCATAATGAGATTAGATTATGCCAAGTTGCATTTATTGGCACTAAAATAAAAGCA